TCAAGTTAATTACATTTGCATAAAATGAAACTATTAATTCGGTTGTATGCGAGATTGAATATTCAACAATCATTAAAATCGCCAAAGTTTCATCCATCATTTCATTCATCATCACTATCATCATCAACTTAAACAAATTATTATACGTCTCACTACTGATACCTAGCTAGATAAACACTTTAATCAATGATATAACACAAATACAGATTAAGTTTAAAAGAAAAAACATAACATGATTGTCATAGCAGCGAATCGGCGCTGACTCAGCAATTATGTCAAAGCTTCCCGAGGCGCTAGTTTTCAGTCAGGACCAGCGAGCGGGATTAAGTTATTTGAAAGCAAAAATTTAACGAGTATGCCTAAAGTTATATATTGAGAATAATAATATACATAGTAAAGTGTAAATAGTGCATCTAAAATAACCTATTTGATATTTAAGGGCATGAGCGAGTGTGAATATAATTACAGCTGCAGCAGTAAATTGTAATTGTAAAGAGGTCTTAATGTTGTACAATTTAGTTAGTTTTAATATAATTATACACATAATAATGGTATGGAATACCATTCTATACCGGGCGTTAAAACAAAGGTTACAACGTAAAAGTATGTATGTGAAGTACCTCTCCATAGTGGAGACCAGCGCACTGTAAGCACTGTACCGGCCACACCTAATCTTACTTGAAAAATCTGTGTAGCGTGTTTTTATTCTTTTACGTAATCTGTCTAGAATCGATTTTTGTTGTTGGTTTACAGCTGTTATTATAAACACAGTCGCTCATGCACTTACATATCAAGTAGGTTATTTTAGATGCATTATTTACACGATACAAACGCGCGACTGCATCGATACAAACGCGCGATTGCATCGATACAATCTCGCCTTTAAATCCTAAGTGTAACGATGCAATCACGCGTTTGTATCGATGAAGTCGCGCGCTTGCCCTTTGACCGTGGACACTTTAAAGCGTCTTAAATTAACTTGGCTGATACGCCAATGGCGCCCGGAAACGTTAATGAAACCCTTTAATTGGCAATTTGAATGAATAAATTAATATTAAGATATTCCTTGTGTTATTTGTATATTCTAGTTAAGTATGGTTCGTATTTGCATTTTATATTCTGTCATGTTCTTCTTTGACTTTGACAATTCGTCACATCGTTACATAGGTTTGGCATCTAGGGAACGTAACCAGTGTTTGTCAGTGGCAGTCAAAAGGTTCAAATCGCGCGTGTGTAAAGGTAGACGATTAGCGACTGCATCGCGTTTGTAACGCTGTTAATAGTAGCCGTGTGTACCGCTCTTATATGTGCGTGTAACTTTGAAATTAAAGTCCCAAATGATTATCACTAATTACAGGGCCCGAAGTCTGCTAAATGTCAATAGAGTGTCAATGACAGGATTTTGTACGCTTGATATTCCGCTAAGCGTTAAGAGTAGTGGCTTATCAGTGGCTATAGGGCGGCAGTCTACTAATTTTATTTGACATAAAGAAAATATATTTAATGTGAAGACTACATTACTACTACTACAATATAAAAATTAAGATATGCATTTTCTTCTTTTTTTGTAAGGCGACATTGATCGTCAGTGGTTTTTTTTTTATAACACACACACTCAACGTAGCACTAGGGAAACCTTGTATCGCGGGTGCCATGGACACATACATAGACAACCACAAATTACCTCCAAACGCACGAGAGAAATAAATAGGCCATACAAATATTTCTCCCGGTTTGGGAACTATTGCGTGGCAGTCCAGCATAGTAACCGTTCGGCCTCGGAGGCAGTTAGTTCGACACTAATTGTAAATAAGATTTTTTTACATAGAAAAACACAAACCCACCTTGCAATCCTTGGATTCTTACTATTAAGGATGCAACATTACGATTCATTTTTTGCAAAAATCGATTCAAGTTCATACGATCTAACGATATTTTGTATGGATTTCCTCGTATTTCAATGCTTGGTTTTCATAGAAAGGTAAATCGAATAGTCTAGATCACAAAGCAATAAACTTTTGCAATAAAATTCAATTTGAACAAAACTCGATTTACTACACATACATATTTAGTTGTAAATACTCTTTGCCCTCGATTTTGGCCGTTAATGGGTTTTAACCCGATTAACAAACCGCTAGTTTAAAACCCGGTCGCTTAATCATCTCTCGCAACAAGTAATAAACATGAAAATAGTCGTCGACAGCAAAAGAGGTATGTCTGTTTTTAAAGCAATCATCTGCCGATGGCCAGTCAGCCCGTGGCCCTGGAGCCTGTAACAGTTCCCGATATTTCGGGAAAATAGAAACTGATATCGTGTTATGAAACCTGTAATTAGTAATAATCAATCAATCAATCAATTTGCTCCTTCGTTATACTTTGCGTACTATCATTCGAGGTTGTCTTATGGCGTGTTTATATGGGGCAACTCTACCAACGTTAATGATGTATTTGTATTACAGAAGAAGTGTGTTGGGATATTGATAAATATAGAACAGAAAAGATCTTGCTGACCTCTTTTTCAAAGATTAGGTATATTAACCTTAACAGTGGCCGAAGCATGGCAGTATATCACATGCAATCTGTGATAAACCGTCCCGTGACATATTTATTTCAGTTGATAAAGCTATGTTGCCATTATTAATAATTTTTTTTATTGCAAATACTGAATCGATAAGATACCGCACTATAGTCTTTTTTCTTTTGTTTATTTGGTAATGAACTATTGTTATATATTTTGAAGAACAAGGATATCATGTACATTTAACAGCCACTGTACCTAAAATAATATTAGTGTGAGAATACCATTAATGAATAAATAAATAAATAATTTATTGAATGAACACGAAAGCCTTAAAGTCTATATTAAAGTCCTAGGTTACCATTCTCTAGGCTACCACCGCTCTTGTTTAATATAACCTATAATATATTTTATAATTCTATTAATGGCACAGTTTGACTATACGGTATTATGATATTCTATCAAAGCATCATTTGTTCGTAATAATTTTCAACGGTAATTTTCATTAGGATTTGCAATTTTCCGCAATGTGGCCATTATTTTCGTTCCATCAACAACGTGATTAATATACAGTTGTTGTTAAAATAAAATAGTTTGCGAATCGTGTGCAGCATGAAAAAAAGCATAACATGAATGAATCTTCGGTGCAGGAATAATTATAACCTTTTTATAATAAAAAGAAAACAACCACAAAACAACAACAAAAGTTTTATTGAAATCGGTTACCGGAAAGTGCGCGAAATTGGATTCATCTCCTAGTGTGCCGCTAAGGGGCGATGGAATATTTTCTTAAAATTTAAATGGGACCAATACTAAGGTACCTTCTTCCAACAAAAAATCATCAAAATCGATTCATAAATGGATGCCGGAGTAATCGTGTAGCACACAAACAGTAGAGTCGAATTGAAAACCTCTACCTTTTTGAAAAATAAGATAATATTTACCTGTCTAAACCATTTATTTACACACACATTAATTACATAACAAAACTGAGCTTCAAAGATTACTTATAAATGCAAAAATAAATTAAATTAATATATACATTAAATGATTTGTGTGTGGGCAATTACTGAGCTGCAGAAGTCGCCCAGCGCTGGTTTTCAGCCTGCCCCCGATCTTTGCAAATACATTTGTAATAGCGCTTAATTCGCAAACTTAGTACGTGGTAACATAATAAAACTAAATCTGAATAATTAATAAGTAATTCCTTTCCTCTGTGTAACAATCGCGAAAACCTAAGAACTCGATAATTCCTAAGATTAAATATTCTTTATTTAAACATCATTGTACATCATTTACTCCGCTGTAACTGCGTTTCTAATCATCTTCTGTATGAATTTACCTATCCTGTATATAGTATATTATGTGCATCCTAATTCTAAGCATCTATATTCTAAACCAATCTATCATAGTAAACATTGTTTATCTTGTTTAATTATCTATTTAATTATCTTATTTAAATTAATAACCTTTGTAAGTATAATATTAATTTAATTTAATATTAATTTTTTTTTGTGATTTTTACTATAGAGCAGTGAACAGAGCGGTACCCACGTTGAGGCAACAGTCGCTAGTTCGAGTTCAGTTGGGCGAAGGAATTTTTCCTTGTGTTAGTCCGACCTTTATATCAATAACATAAATTTGTAACTACAGTTCGGAATAGAGTGGTTTGCGTTAATATTAGACATCTGGCTTACTGTCCCTACTCAGTCAGCAGTGACCATGAGTCCTAAAAGTAGGTTTGTTTGTAAAAAAACAAATATACGCGATTTGGTCGAAAAATCATAAAAAAGACCGACCTCAAAAGTGCCTGGAAATACATCTATTTGCCAAGTTTCTTTGACATCGGTTACCGGAGAGAGCGCGAAACCGGATACATCCCCTAGTTTGTCATGCAAAGAGGTGGAATATTTTCTTCTAATTAATTTCAATTGGGACCAATATTGAGGTACCCTCTTTTCAACAAAAGTAGAATCATCAAAATCGGTCAACAAAATTATTTATGTTATTAGCCGGAGTATTCGTGTAACATACATACAAAACAAAATACAGTCGAATTGAGAACCTCATTTTTTTTAAGTCGGTTAAAAAAACCGTTTCATTTATAAAATAAAGTTTCTTTTCTGTGCGAGTTTATTACATTAAACGAACTTCAAGGAAGGTATACATCTAAGAGAGGATACCTTTCACTGAAATACCGTCTTTGTTGTAATATACTTTATTCTATATTTTGGATGTTTAACAAGCAGCTTCTTAACTACGGTAGTGTATTTAGAAGAAAATTTTGTTTTCATCTTTTTTGCCTTTAATTTCGGAATTTCAGAGAGAGGTATTATCCTCTCTATGAATATTACATGAAGTTAAGTAAATATACTCGGCATATTACGACATATTGTCACGATCGTTAATTATTTTGTCACATCTACAGTCTCACTTGTTTGTAAACATAGTTTTTCGAAGTGGTGCCGAAACTCAAACTTACCTTAAAACAACCTGAGAATGTCCAGGTGCAATCCTCTGCTCCTTTTTCCTCCTACGGCACTCACTATCTCTTTTCTCACTCTCACCGTATTTATTCCCATAGTTTTCGCGTATCGTGTGGTATCTCGGCTGGTAACTCTCCAGTTGCGAGTACAAGCGCGCGCGTGGCGCGGGCGATGGACCTCGTTGCGTCATAGAGTCGACACGTCCGTACTCCCCGGCAGTCGGAGCTACACTAACTTGTTGGTAAATTCTCTCAGCTACCCCCGGCCTACGCGTTTCCATCTTTTCGTCAACGAACGCGACTCGTGGAGGCTTCGGTTGCATTAGACTGATCTTTTTCTTCTTCGCCGTCGAAGTCACGTAGAAAAAGTAGCCGTTTTTATCCATTTTCGGTGCTGTTGCTTTTACCTGATGAAGAAATTTGATTTCATTAAGTTTATATTGAATTGATATTTAATTATTTTTTGTGAATTTACTCCAATAGGTTGCCATAATTATTAATAGAAAGATCGAACAGTTAGAAAAAAAAAGTCGTTGAAAACCAAATATAAAGATTCAACAACAAGCACATAGATAAATTCGTGAGGTCCGCTGATTTGTTCCGGGGCTTAGTTGGCATAGCGTCTGCCACGGTTTGTTAGGAGACGTCGGTTCGAATCGACGGAATTATTTCCAAGTGTTTGATCTTTGTATTAATAATTATAACAAATTTGGTTTCGTTAAGCTTTCAAATTGTACTAATGAAAACATTCTGTCGTATTGCAATTCGTTTAATGGAAAAGTGATATAAAATTGAAAAAAGCATTATATGCCGTTTGACTCGGGACAAAATATGACATAATTTTAAGTGATATATAAAACTATGTAATACCTTTATTTTGTACTTATTTTTTTTGTAGTTTATTTTGTCAGTTTGACATAGTTACTTTTCTATTATCTTTATTATTGAGAGTATGATATGTACATAAAGCACATTCAATAATAAAGTATATTTTATTAATGAAAAAACTACCAATGTATTTTCTACATGACATTCGTAATATAAGTTAGCCATGCTAAGAAGCCATCCAATAGTACATGCTCTGTAAGTGGCTTAAATAAATAAATAGTAAATATTATTTCATACAATTTTCAATATAAATCTTTTTCATTTTTTTAATACAATACCAAGTCACGAACTAGGCGTGCGCTTGGTGTTAAATAACACACCTATAACAATAGCAGTCAGAGGCGGCTCGTCCTAAGGAGCACCAGCACGAGCGTGCAGTGAACTCCCACTCCTATCCAACTTACCAAAATAAATTTATTAATTATGCTTTCTACTATACTATACTATGCTCTATACGAGGAGTGTGGGGTCCTATCGGTTCGCGGTCTCTTTCTACTCGGAGTTATGGTTCTGGTGCATCGTGAAGTGACTTCTTCTCTTAATTATTGTAAGTTACTCGAAAATAGGCTTTTTAAACTTCATCTACCAGCTATAAACTCCACTTTCGCTAGAAGATTTCCAAAATTCATGCATCCATATATATACAATAGAGTTAACGCCTTGTACAGCGTCAAGCTCAAATTCGGAACTTAAGCATAGGGTCAATATGTTGCTACGCACGTTGACATACAATGAAATAGAGGACTTGCTAAAGGAGGTGCGCTAGTTCACTGCCTCAATCCTTAATCCATACACGTGCACGCACGCACACACCCACCGACTCACAAGCACGCACGCACGCACGCACACACGCACGCACGCACCCTCGCACACACGCATACACACACACAATGCCATAAAGACACACACTCATCCTATATAAATGTATATATAAGGTAATTGGTATTGAATTAAGAATAGAATGAATATTATACATAATGCATTATACAATATATATATAATCTAATATAATAATATAAAAATATGATAAGATATAATAAAATAATGTATTATATAATAATAATAATTTTTGATAATATGTTTGTTTGATAATGTGTTTAATAATATGTACAATTTTTGAAAAAAAAAAAACTTTTTAGTAATAATAAACAGTAACAATGTTTTTATCGATTACCTGCGAGACAGGCTTTGCCTAGTGCAGGAATCGTAGGAAATTCTCTGTACGCGATATACGCTACAATTGAGTTGTGTTACCTGGTTCTTTGTCGTAACTAAATTGTAATGTGCCTGCACAAGTTCATTTGTAAATAAATTATTTTGTATTTTTTTTGAGCGCTCCGCGATGCGCTCCTACGAGCCGACATTGTTTACACTGTTCAGTACTGAATTCTATGAGTGCGAAAGAGAAATTTCTTTACGGCGCGACACGTGAAACAAAAGATTAGTATGAGGAAATTTAGCAATATTTGAGCGACGGTCCGCGCGAATAGGCAATCCGTATTTTTTTCGCGCTTCTTTTGTTGTGTTGTACAAAATTCTTATTATTCAATCGTTGTTAAAAAGCGTAGTGTTGTTTAGTGGCATTGTTTAAAATGAAACTCTATAATGTTAATTTCATTTTTTATTTAAAATATGTATAGGTCAATGAACTCCCACTGAAATCTTCCACGAGCCGCCTCTGATAGCAGGCGACTAGGAGCTTTAATCGCAAAAAAACTGAAGAGCGCTGCCACGGCACCCGTCACAAAAGTTGACAAGTCCACTGTGCCTGTAATTTTACCAGCACCCTTGACCCTGCTCACAATACTGTTTGGTGCCAAAAATAGATATATAGATAAACACTTTATTAACTAGTATGACACAAATACAGAATGAATACAACAGGAAAAATAAAACATTTTTGTCATAGCAGTGAAATGGCGCTGACTGTGCCTAAGCTCCCTAAGGCGCTGGTTTTCAGTCAGAACCAACGAGAGTTATTTGTAATGAAAGATCTAATAAAAGACTAGGAGGGAAATTTTTCATTAAAATAATAAATGTAGTAAAGTGTGAATAGTGCATCTAAAGTAACCTATTCAATGTTTAAGTGTAGCTGTAATAATGATTGTGAATATTTTTTTGTAAATAAATAGATAAGTTATCATGTTTTTTTAAGTTGTTTAAAACATAATCTTTATTTAAGCTTATTTATGCTTGTGGTTGTCAAGGCGTTACGTAATTCCAGTGGTAACATGTTTATTAGTTGGGGATCATTGTAATTAGAAGTTCTTTCACCGTATACATTATTAGCGCGTCTCGTCTGGAGTTAGCCTCAAATCTGCTAATTTTCTTGAAACCATTGGTCATTGTAATTCCATTGGGACTCCACGGAGGTCATATTGCAATTATGATAATATTTGTTATTCTGCTAAAATCTAGTCGCAATGGCAGTTCAGTCGGTGGAATTTCAATGATGGCATTCATTCATTCAATCACGAACGAAGTGTTGCCTTACGAAAACTACCGTGATAATTACTATACATATTTATCTTAACTTTTATCACATTTAATCAACGATTTAGTCTATATACATAATATTAGTACACTTGTCGCGTGCAATAGAATAGACGACTAGGTTCACATAAATTTATTATATAATGAGGGAGAAGAAAAGGTAAACAAAGCGAAAAGGAAGGCTGTAACAATAAATATAACAGTATAAAACACAAGTACAGTGATATTAAAACACTCCCTACTTAAATTGCTTATAAAACAAATGGTAAAAAAGAACTTACCCCAAAAGGGCCGTAGTTTCTACAAATATTAGTTAGGTTAGGTTATATACCAAGTATGTTTTTAACACTATTAGATAAGAGTTTAATTGAAAACTGGTAAACTGATCACAATTCAGGTGAAGACGAGCAGGAGTGCTTGCTTCAGATGACGGAATGAAGCAAAGTGATAATGGCAAGGCAAAAGAATTAGAAAACAATTCAAATTTTCAAAAGTAAGTGGCCAGGAACATAAAAAAAGGGTAATAAAAAGGTGTGATGACGACGAAAGAGGTCGCATTGAAGAGCAGAAGACCAAAAAAACTGCAATGGCAGTTGAATAGTAGTAATCTAGACGCTGACAAGTCCCTCCTCCTAACTTTTCGAAAAATACCAAAATACAAAATCCAGCCATTGACACTCTATCCGACACAACTGAGATGATTTAAAATTAGCAGACTTAGTCAAAAGTACATAAATAATAATAATAATTTATTGTACATAAAAAAAACACGTTACATGGCATTAATTAACATTAAACAGTCAAGTCAAAATCAAATTCAACTGCCTTCGTGGCCTAACGGTTACCATGCCGGACTGCCACGCAGAGGTCCCAGGTTCGATTCCCGGGCCGGGAGAAATAGTTGTATGGCTCACAATTATTTCTCTCGTGAGTTTGGATGTAATTTGTGGTTGTCTATGTGTGTGTCCATGGTACCCGCGACACAGGGTTTCCCTAGTGCGGGGCTATGTTGGGTGTGAAAAAAAAAAAGAAAAAAAAGATTTTTATTTCATAGGTAAGCAAATTACACTCTAAGTCGTCATGCTGATTACACTCTACGTGCTCGTTCGTAAGGCACATTCCCCTGAGAAGAATGAGCAAGAAACTCTTGGGGTGCTCTTTTTAAATATACATTTGAATACATTTAAATATTTCCTTCTTCTTAGTGTCTAGGATGCTAGTCACTGTTCGCGTGCTCACAATGAGTAATTAGTTAATTGATGAGACGTGGTAGAATCTGATGTCGAAGGTCAAAACCCACTTTGGGCCACTGCGCCACCAAAGTAAGCAGTAGTAGTAGATTTTATCTCGCCCATAAAGTTTCCGGTCCTCGACTTTAATATCGTAATATCAAATTCCAACGCCCTTATATCAAAGAATAAAATATTGCACAATAATTCCTTCCCCGCATTGCATTTCAGTGTAATATTTTTCCAGTTGCAATGCAATAGCTACCTTTCGAAAAGTGGTGGACGTCAAAACAATGGCAGGCTTATCGGAAACATTTCAAAGGTGCAAAGCGAATTCGATACCAATATTCACTCTGCGATCCTGAGATTCGCTATACTCTACACTAGATAGACAATTGACGACGTAAATAAAACGTTATTTCAACTTTTTGTTATTCATGGAATTATATAATTGTTTGTATGTTAACTAAAGTACACTGCCCTCCTTATCATAGAAAAAAGTTTATTTTCTACCATCACAAATTACAAAATTCTTGTTACATACATTAATTATTATTTAAGCAGTTTATTTTATTTTGCGACACACACGTCCATCACTCATCTCAGCTCAGGGCTCATTGAAAACCAGCGCCACAGTCAATTGCGGCTGTGGCATAAGCTGAATGAAGTCCTTTTGCATACGCCACAACCGCGCACATGACAGTACAACATTTGTAGTGGTTATATTTAGTATTTTTCTGTTTTGCTCTTTGTTTGTTATTGTCTTATTTTATTTTAAGTTT